GCGGCATCGGTCCTGGCATCGCCGGCACGAACATGTGAGGTGCTGGGATCGCACCCGGGGCCGGGGTGCATCCTGCCATGCGTCCCCCTGGGCATCCCGCCGGGCCAAGCTTGCCCCCACTGCTGCCCTTGAGCCTGTCACCTCGGTGGTGGCGTGGGGACAGCGCGGAGCACAGCTGCGCTGACAAAGGACAGGCGCGGGGGCTTCAAGTGACACTTCTGGGAAGCGGGGCGGGCAGGCAGGCAGCAGGGCTGGCAGCAGGGTGCCCGGGTGAGCCTGCACCCTGCTCCCCAGCCCAGCCCCCCGCCACAGTCCCCAGAGGGCTCTCCCCCCGCTGCCGCGGGTGCTGCGCCGGGGCCAGCTCCTGCTCACCCGCACACCCGTGGCGCTGCAGCCTCTTTGCCCACCACTATTTTTATCAGAATTTCAGGGAAGTGCCCGTCCGTTCCTCACCCGGGATATATTTAGGCCCGTTGATGTCACGGCAGCGCTGGCCCTGCCAGGCACTCCCGGCTGGAGAGGACAAACGGGCGCTGCCACCTCATGGGGACCGCTCCTTGCCCCCAGCCGGGCTCAGCACCGCAGGGCAGCTGAGCTCCTGGGGGCTGCCAGCCCTGGCACAGGCAGGGGGAGCACGGCGCTGCACGGTAGGACCGATGGCGGTGGGGCAGCAAAGCCAGGGCGGTGGGCAAGCGCGGGGAGGCTGTGAGATTGGGGGAAGATGCAGGGGCAGTGGCACCCCCCAAGGGGCCAGGAGATGCCAGTGGTGAGGGAGCAAGCCGCATCCTTCCCTTTAGAAACCGGAGCGTGCCAAGCTTGGCTCCTGCCTTCTCCCTGCCGCAGCCGGTCCTGAAGCTGTGGGCATCGGGAGAACAGCCCACGGAAACCTGACTTTCAGGGTGGCGTAAGGCACCTCCGACTGATCCCATGTGCTCGGGCGAGGGAAGGGACGTGTGGGGCTGCCGTGTCCCCAGGCACCCCGGGGGCGAGGGGCAGCGGGGCTGAGCTGGCAGCGTGGCCCCTGGCACCTCATCCCCACCGCTGCTCGCCTGCAGCGCGCCGCTGTCACCCTCTCCACACAGGCTCCCCGGCAGCCAATGCTCCAAGACCCTCATGGTGCCCAGCTGCCCCCCTGCCGGCGATAAAATGTCCACCAGCCCCATGGTGCGGAAGCCGACGATGCACCGGTACATCAGCACCAAGGTCCTGCTGGCTGAGGGCTGCGAGACCCCCTTCGCCGAGCACTGCCGCAACTACGAGAACACCTACCGGGTAGGGAGCATGGGTCGGGACGGGACGGCGTAGGACGGGATGGGAGGGTGCTGCTCATGTGGCAGTTGCCCCCCGGCCCCCGCAGATGCTGCAGACAGAGATCCAGGGCCTGAAGGATCAGGTGCAGGAGCTGCACCGTGACCTCACCAAGCACCACTCGCTCATCAAGACAGAGATCATGAGCGAGATCCTGCAGAAGTCCCTGCAGATGGACGTGCAGATCGCGGCTCACTACTCTGCCGTGGAGATGATGCGCAGCGTCTTCGAGGAGGTACGGCTGGCGCGTCCCGGCAGAGCAGGGTCCCTCTGTGCCGTACACGGCAGACTGCCCGGCTCCCTCTCCCTCTTCCAGGTCTGGGAGGAGACATACCAGCGGGTGGCAAACGAGCAGGAGATCTACGAAGGTACTGGCGACCCCGCTCCCCCGGCCCCAAACCCCCCGTGCCTGCTCTGGGGGAGCAGCCACGGCCACAGCCCACTCCTCTCACCCCCCAGCCCGCGGCAGGCGGCAGGAGAACAGCTGCCTATCACCAAGC